GCAGCTATTTTAAAATATCTACGCGTCGACATATAACGCATGCGTTATCTCATAACGTACAAAATAGACCTGCTGAACTCTGAAGAATTTTTTTGCATTTCAAAATGAACTCAGAATTGATGACATACGACTGAATTCTTTTTGAATATTTTTTTTAATTCTCTGTGCTATCTGAGTTATGTTTGTTAAAATATTTACGGACGTATTTCGTTCTGTTAGTCGTTCTGTAACTATGTTACTATGTTAAATAATTGTGCAATATGTTTGCTGTGAATTATCCTCTTATCAATCCCCATCAATCTCTCTCTCTTTCTCGGCCGTAGATCATTATCGCGATAGTCTAAGTGATATCGATCGCTTTGGATAATTTTATTTTCACGATTAAATGGTGCGATTGGTGATGTTTTCATGAATTATCACGTTAAAATAAAAACGAATATCTGGACCATTTATCAAGTTAATTTTTGTCGATTAGTTCTGTCTGTATATATTTTTTTTTTCATTTGCGCGTTTCATAATGAAACATGGAAGCGTTTCGATCGGTGAAGGTAGGGGAGGCCGTATATAAGAACTACCTGCACAGCATTTAGGTTTTACTCCCTCCTTCCAGTTTGACAAAGAGTGTTCCTAATAAATAGTGGTTTTTTTCGCATTATACGTTACATCTTTGAATATTTCGGTGACCATATATATTACATTATGATACGCGTAATTTGCACATCGTTGGTATGCATTCTCGTTACTCTCGTCTACACCAGGTAAGTGAGTGAAAGGATATCCTTCTCGTGGCCTAACGAGCTACATGTGTACGTTACGCTAAAAAGAAACGAAGGAGTCAGTGCTGACAGTGCGGTATATATTGTGTAATATTTCTTTTGGTGTCAACACGGCAATTGAACGAGACGAATTAACTGTTTTTGTGTGTATTATAACGATAAATTATGCAAATAGAAAGAAAGAAGGAAAGTAAGCAAGATAAACGCGATTATAATTATCAAAGGATGACCTGCGAACCGTGGTTTATTTTAATAGTATCGATAATCGGTATCGGGAAATATTTGCATCGCTATCGCAATGTAAATTTCTTTCATATGTCCACATAGCACCAAAGTGTTATTATTACTAAGAAAAGGTTACAATACTTATAAATCTTTTATATGAGAATACAATGTTGTATTAACTTTCTTTAGCAGCGAGCAATATGTTAATACTACTAAGCCATCAGTTTAAGATAATAAGGGAATTATATTTTGATAGATATTGAAATTATATTAATTTAACTATAAGGTAACTGTGAATTAACCAAGAAAACCTTGTATCAATATCCGGGTTTGATGTTGGTTAAAAATTCTTGGCCTATATTCTGAATCCTCTTTTATGTATAAAAGTGCCTCTAAAAGAGACTTAAGAGCCACCTGATTGGCTGAGAAGCTATATTCAAGGTACTTTTATCGATAAAAGAAAGTTCAGAATGAGTGTTTGAAAATAACATTTTAAAGTCATGATAATGTCACGGCCATATTTTCACAACATAATTAAAAGCTTTTTAAGCTTTTGTTATGTGTGAGGTACAAACATCTATACGGAAAAACAATTTCGTCAGTTATTGCGCGCGCTTAGTTAGTTCTTATAAATTATAATTAAATTTTTCATTGTTTAGTAAGAATAGAGATCAGATGAGAAACTCGATCGTAAGAAAACACTTTGAAAAAATGATTCCTGAACGAGGCTTCTACTCAGTCAATCAAGTTATCTTCTACTCAGTCAATCAAGTTATTGCAACCAAGTTTAAGTACAGCTGAATATTCAGACAAATGTTTTAGGTATAACAGCGGTATCATTTTTTATCGCCGAGTTTTTATGTGATCCTATTCGATTGCACGAACTGAAATTTTTCCCGTGTACTAATGAGATATTTACAATTTTGTAAACTCTAACACAATCAGAAAGATCCACATACCATGCTTGTAATTGTCGACTGCAATAGTATCCGTGGAAGGTGTACAAATACATAAAAGATTCTTATTTTTATTTGAAAGAAATATATCCAGGTAGCACATACACATATCAGAAACGTTTTTTTTTTAACGTATCTATAGTTTCAGAACCGTAAAGCACCAATAAGAAATGTTTTAACAGAAACCTTCCTGAAACCTTATTTATGAAATGTTTATAAAACATTTCTTCAACGATTTTTTTCGCAAAAATAATGTTTCACCAAAAATAGGTCCTAGGGAATTGCTGACTTCCGACTAATTCCGCACATTATTTCGAGGTAGTGCAGGTTCGGTTAATGCATATGGGCTGCGTTCTTTTATTCGCAACAGATGCAGCTGATGTCATGTTATCCTTCGATTTTACTGAATGTTAAATAAAGATAGAATGACATCGGCTGCATCTGTTGCGAATAAAAGACACAGCCATGGCGTCTGTTTCTCACGCGATAAGAAGTGTAAAACAGACATTAATAAAATATACGATAATTACGCAACCGATAATTACGGTTGACGCAACCGACAATAAATCATATGAAGTGTTTTTGTTTCCACAAGATTACGAACAAGCATTATCAGGTAAGTTACATTATTAAACAAAATGAGAACGAAAATACAGGAATGTTTAAGGATATTATGAAAAACTTGCAAATTTAATAATATCTAATTCATATTATTACAGATAATAATTATGCTTCCAAAATTTTGGAAAACGTTAAAAAAATCGGATTAAGTGCACAAGAAAAGGAAGTAGAAATTGTTACTAATGATAAGGAAAAAGAAGATGTAAACAAGGAGAATAGTTTTAACAAAGAAACAAATTTAGACAGTGATGAGAATACTGAAACTGTTATACTGAATTATTTTCACTAAAAATAATTAGGTTATTTATTTAATATAATAGTAATAATATAAGTTGCTTTTCAGCAAGAGACAAGTCTATACATCATTCTGTCTTTTTCCATATTTAGTGAGTAACAAAGATAGGATAATAGTTATCTTATAGATAGGATAAGATTTATATCTCTTGCTGGAAAGCTATAGTCGTACATATTTAATATAGTATTGTATAGTTTTAAAAGATGTATTAAAAAAATTAAAAAAATATAATATTATATATATATATTTAATATAATAAATTTTTATATATATATTTAATATAATAAATTTAAAAAAATGTACTATATTTTGTGCGCCAAGTACAACTGGTGTTATCTTATTCATAATTATAATAATGTTCTTTACCATTTATAGATTGATTTCAGTTAGGTTATGTCTTTACGACATAAGCCACTGCACGATACTAAAAACGCGTTCCGTTTTCCTACGCTGTTACTACTGCTTAACAATTTTGGAATAACAAATATGGCTGGTTTCAATATCAATACTGTCAGTAGTGTTAGCACTATTTCGAAACGCAGCCTCAATCATAAGATTGCAGCAAATTTGCAGCATATATACTACCATTATATTGGCATAATATATACTACCATTATGTCGGCAAAGCATGCCGAAATTACTTGAAGGCAGAGTGCTAGTAAAAATCGAACAAGACGTGTCGAGCAATATGTGACGACAAATTTGCAGCAAACAGCGAACAAGACGTGCCGAGCAACGCGTGACGGCAAATTTACGGCAAAATCGAGCAAGATATGCCGGCTATGAACAGGCCAAAACTACCTGAGTAGAATTTGCACTTTATGAGAATCTAGTCATTATATAATAAATTTGTATCTAATACACACATACACATTATTATTAGTTAGTGTAACTAAACAGTGATGAACCAGTAATGTAACGCTTTTGCGAATAGCTATATTAATTAATAATGAGATAAAATAAACTAAAATAAACATAGTTATGAGGTAAAAAATCAAAACTAGTTGCTAGGCAATATCACTTTTTCTAATGAGGATATAACATAAGTTACCTAGTACCCAGCAAACAATTTGATACCAAATTGTCGCCAAATTGACACCAAATATGACCAAAACTTGACGGCAAATCCGATGCCATCTGCGTCCGCAATATGTTTGGATTTTCCCAGATAGAAATGCGTGATGATCATATTTCATCACAATGTGACTTCATACTATGACTCCAATTTGATACGTTTCTAAAGATCATTACGTGATCTCATGACATGAGCATCAGATGCACACAAATGATGTACAAATGATATTGTAAATTCTTGACATGATGTTGATTATTATTATTAAATGAGGTATTTTTGTGACATCGTAACATGTCTACATTCTGAGGCGCATATGAGCCCGCATCAGTGTCTATTCTTGTCCTTATGCTTGAAGATACATGAATACAATATCAGAATGAATATATTTTTCTATCTGGGTTGTTAGCAAAGCTTAGTGACAAAATCTGACGCCAAATTGTCGCCAAATACCGAGCAAAGTTTGGCGTCAAAATAACTGCGCCGCACAAACCTTGGTCGGTATTTGGCGTTAGATTTCACCAAGCTTTGTTCGGTATTTGGCATCAATTTGGCGTCAAATTGCTCCGCACAAACCTTGCTCGGTATTTGGCGTCAGATTTTGTCACCAAGTTTTGCTAACAAAACCCAAGCATATTACGCAGATGGCATCGGATTTGCCGTCAAGTTTTCGTCATATTTGGTGTCAATTTGGCAACAATTTGGTACCAAATTGTTTGCTGGGAGAGTTTAATATTGTATCGAACATCATTATGAACATACTTTGACCGCGATTTGGAAGTTTCAATAATGTTGAAATAGAGTTGTCATAATCGTTGCGTTTTAATCGTCAGAAATATTTTTAAGATGTTGATCTCAAATAAATGTTAAAGTAACAATTTTTTGAAAAATATATTTTTTGTAATGTGTTTTTGAAACGTTTAAACAATATTCAGAAAAATCATATCACAAAATAACATGTAAAAAATATAAATGCAATATTATTAAAAAATGTCCAAACAATGCACATGGACTCAATGTTTTTAAACGTTAATTTAATGTTTCTTGCTTATTGGGCGTGCTGCAATTTTGTCGCTATTCTGTCGACAAAACGTGCAGCACGCTTTGCCAAAATTTGCCTTTGACACGTTTGGCTATCAGGGTTATAAAACGTTTTGAAAACGGTTATAAAAGGTTTGCTTTTAACGTTTATAAAACATTTCTGAAACGTGTGTGTGCTACCTGAGCTACGTGAGTAATCTCACGTCCTCTGTTTTTCTTTTACAAGTGTTCTTATTTATATCTTGTTTCCTCTTTTACATTTCTTTTAGACGTCTTAAAAAAAACATCTTTTAATCATTTATGCTGCTGGAAATTCTTCACGCGCGAAACATAATCCGAGTAATATTTCTTGTTTGTGAAGTAACATGCAGTTTATCGTCGTGCTTATCAGAGATCCCCCGTCTTCTGCTGATTAGTATCATCATCGACGCTACAATTGGTGATATTACCCTACAACCCACAAGTAATTTGCTCATCCGCGCAGCTCAACGATTCTATTCGTTCGAATCCGTTCCTCTCGAACACTTCTACTCTTGAACTTCCGCCGTTTTCTCAGTGATACTCTCATATCTTTTAACCGAACCGGTCTGGATCGCAGTCATATTTTAGTTTCGAGTGATAGAGCACGTTTCTCCACATAACGGCAATGTAAATATCGTTTTGTGACGCATTCACTCCGTAGATTATGCATAGTGATTCGTTCTCGTCACGTGCACTTTTTACACTTTTCGCATAGAAAACGGATTGACGAATGTGCCGTAGTTTAGAGTGAAAAAGAAAATAAAAGTGGGAGAGAAGTACGAAAAAGTGTCAAAAGCACAGTGTGGCCTGAAGATAAATATAAGACTTTTTTGTCTACACTTTTTGTATTCGTTGCAATTGTTCTTATTTTCCTTTTCTTTTCCATTAAGTCTGAAATGTGTATCATCAGCTCTTATTAAATGCAGAAAGTATAATACAATTTAACCAGAAGGAGTGACCCTAATTTCGTGTTTCGACATTCTGTAGCGTTTCGTTTATGTATTAAAAGTATTTTGTAACTTATTTATAATGATGTGATAATAATAATAACTTTATCGTTTAAATTTTCAATTGAATTTTAGTTAAAGTACAGTTAAGATGAAAATTATGATCAACGTGAGTGTGAAAGGAGTTTCAAGATTTATCTAGTTGCATATAATGCATAGAAAAATTACATAGTTAATTTACAAAATTGTACAATATACATGACATAAATATCACAATTTACTTTATATTTTATTTAGGCAAGTTGCAGGTGACTCCAATGTGTGTGTTGAGAAAGTGACAGACACTTATGGTCTTTCCGAAGGCCCTCATTGGGATCACCGTAGTCAGAAATTATATTTTGTCGACATATATAATCAGTTCATACGTAGGCTAGATCCTGCAACAGGTGTTGTAACCAATGCATACATAAGTAAGACTATGCATCTCTTCTTCACATATCACATATTATATCACAAGATAATATAACAACTCATTCAATAATATTCTTTTAGAACATGGCACTGTTGGAGTTGTTATACCTGTAGATGGTTCTTCTGATCAACTCATAGCAGGTGCTGGAAAAGATATTGTTTTGGTTACATGGGATGGAGAAAAAGATGAGAAGGAGGTACCAACCGAAGTTCTGTGTTCTGTTGATGAGAAAAATGTTAAAACAAGAATCAATGATGGAAAAGTTGATTCCTCTGGGAGACTTTGGCTAGGTAAGTAAAAAATATCTAAATATCGTCATATTAGTCATGATCAATGAAATTATATGCTATATGTTTTCAATATGTTTATATATAAATTAACATTTTCTATAATAGGCACTATGGGTGAAAATGAGGTTGGAAATTTAATTCCTGGTATAGGATCATTTTACCACATTGACAGTCAAAACAAATTATGTATTCCCATGAAGGAAATATCTCCCGTTTCCATAAGCAATGGATTAGCATGGAACAAAGAAGATGATACATTCTATTATATTGATTCGCCTACTCGTCAAATTGCAGCATATGATTATGATCCAAACAGTGGAAAGATATGTAAGAGGCTTTAGTGTACATTTCTATAATTATATTGATTTGTAGCATAAATTTTTGTACAGTTGAAAACAATCATAAAATTGCTAAATAAATTTGCAGCTGTGTATATAATTTTTACATTTTAGCTAATAGGAGAATTGTATTCAACTTGAACACTACTAACTTATCTGGAGTGCCTGATGGAATGACCATAGATACAGATGGCAATCTTTGGGTAGCTTTGTTTGGCGGAAGTCAGGTAAGTATATAGAATGGATTCACTTAAAATATAAAAAATACATTGGAAATAAATTTTGTAAAGATTATTATAGATCTTATATGTTATGGAAAATATATATCAATATTTATGGAAATTATGCGTGATTCAACCACAAATCTTTTGACCAGGTCATCAATGTAAATCCGAAAACAGGGAAAATATTACGTGTAGTCAAAATCCCGGCCGAAAATGTAACCAGTGCCACATTTGGAGGTCCGTTTCTCGACATTCTTTATGTAACCACTTCGGGCCACGGTTTAACGGCAGAACAGCAAGAGAAGACTCCTAAAGCAGGTGCTTTATTCGCGGTAAAAGGCTTAGGAGTTCGCGGAAGTCTCGCGAATGCGTTTCGAAATGAATGCGTTGATAAATGTACTTAGACGAATGCGTTTCGAATGAATTAATAAAACAGGTAATGGACAATTGATCGAAAAAGATATATATATATATATATGAAGACATATTTTGTTTCTTATGGAAATCTATGTACTCGTGTGTATCATCAAATAAAAACGCTTAACAATGTATGTTTAAGCTAAAAATGTCTTGCTAAAAATAATATCAGATTAATTTATAGTTTATAGTGTTCTTATGTGCAATTACGTATTATTATGTGGTGTAACATAGTGAAAAGATAAGTCAGGTTCTAGCTTTAGATGTTCCTTTTATGTAAGAGATGAGTTACAAATTGTCTTTACAAAAATTACCATCTACTGACTGCTACTTACACTCGGTTATTGTACCTTTAGATGAAAATTCCATTCTTATTTCGGTTACCAAGTGTGTGCGGTAGAAAAATAATGTCTCCTTATGCGAAAATGTTTTCGTAGAATCATTGAGAAAACAATGCATAGCTCATTTATATTTATGGGGCATATTGTAAATTAATTTAAACATATTTTTTTTTAATAAAAAATGTGCGCGTAATCGAAACTTCGTAACTGAATAACGTAAAGGTTTTCTCATATTTGTCGATATTTATATAATGAATATTAAACATCTTGATCATGCAAACTGAATATTTTGATAATAATATTATAACTCTTATCACTAAATTGTAAATATTAAACACTGTGTGTCCTTTTCTGTCTATGATACATGTAAATTTGTTTTTCTAAAATTCATATACTTATACTCCTCCAATGAAAATAAGTTGATAAATGTACTTAGACATAATCAAATCTGGAACGTCGGATAGTTCGAACGGTCGAACGTTCACCTTGTATCGCTACCGAAAGAATTTTTTTATAGTAAGGAAGTATACAAAGTTTATATTTACAGAAAAGTAAAATACTTTCGCGCGCAATAATTTAGTCTTTTAGTATTAGACTAAAAATGTAAAACAATTGTATTCAGTAGTCACATCAACTCGTTGCGCTGGAATACTGGACGTACGCAACCAGTTTTTACATCCCTATTCGACAGTTGGATGATAGGATCTTATACAAAACATGTGCGACATATGTTAAGAATACACGTTAACGCGTATCGACTTGACTTGCCATTCTAATTCAAGAAATCAATTAGCGATACAATGTCATTGAGCCAATCGGCTTCGTGGTTTTTTCTTTTTTTCTTGAAAAATAGAATACACACACACCTTTATGTGAAACAAGCGCTGTAAACGATATACGAATGCAGGATAATATCCAGCCGCCACATGAATGTTAGAATGTGAATCGATTAATTAATCGTCCAACGTTATAATCTCGACACTGTCGCTGGCGAGTTTGTCCGCCTTCTTAACTGAGATGGTGGCAGGTGGTTTTCCTCTCGGCACATCGTATATAGGCATGCACTCGGTCGTCGCCGAAGACCTCAGTGTCTCCGACGACGGGACCTTTTGCGGCACCATCGTCATTGAAGAGGAGAGACTCTTGGAGTAATCTATGTTCGACTTTAAAGGCGCCTTTTGCTGTGGTATTATTTCCAAGTGTGAATGTTGTTGTAACTGCGACAACATCGAGAGCGCTTCGACTGAGTTTCCCTGGGAGAAGGGAGTCGGCAATGAGCTCGGCACATCCACCGATGTCGCTGCCCCTGTCGTCGCCGCTGTTGTTTTCGACTTGACGTTCGATTTTTTGTAACTATGATATTTGGTGGTCTTCATACTAGACGGCTGCGTCACGGTGCTCACGGAGATGCCACTCAATTCCGGTGGTATAAAAGGCGGTTGCGACATCGCAGAACTCACCGGCGGCATCGCATTTAGCAGACTGGGAAAATTGCCAGGTAGCACGGGCATCGCTTTGCTAGCGGCCTTCGTCTTCCTCATCAGGCTTTGTATGCTCGTTTGTGGATACTGTCGTTGGGAGTTCTTTTTCGACAGTAACTTGTGCTGCAACGATGTGCCGGTACGTGAGGCAGGTAAATTCATGGGTAGACCTTGACTCTTCATAACTACGGGTGCGGCCATGGCGCCAGCACTATGAGCGACTTGCGGCACAGTTGCCGAATTCGTCACGTTGCTGCTACCGCTACTCTTCAGGGGTGAGTGCGACAGCGAGGAGTTGTGTGCGGGTTGTGGCTCGATAAGCGATTTCGAGACGCGAATCTGTGGGGCGCTCACTTGCTTCGGCGGACTAGTCTTCACCTGTTGAATGACGGATGGCTTGAGCAGAGATACTTGCGCCGTGTTGGGCGAATGTAATATAGGCTTCGTCGGCGATATCTGAAGTGACTTGGGAATGTGAACAGGTAATGGGTCGCTCTGCGTGCTCGGCTGTTTGCTGCTGGGCTTTGTCTTATGAGGTTGTTGAGTAAGCGACGTGGTCACCGGCGTAATGGATATGCTGGGCCTGTCCTTCGTCATCGACATAGTCGTGCTGGTCTTAGTCGTTGTTTGATGGTACATAGGCGCCGATCGCGAGGTCGATGCCGTAGAATTAGTCATGCTCAGCAATTGTTGCACCGTCATGTTGTTCAGATTACTCAAGTTACTGATGTTGGTAGTGATACTGGGAGTATTAATACTGGAGCTAGTCGTACTCATTGTGGAGGCATTGCTGATACCGGTCATAGTTGTACCGGGATTGTTCAAGCCACCAGTAAGATTGGTCAGCGATGACAAATTACTCTGATATTGCCTGAGAATGTCTTGGTAACTTCCCATTTGATTCAAGTAGCTCATCGCTGACAAGGGGTCCATTATATTGCTGGCCAACAGGGCCGATAATACGGTCGGATCGACTAGTGGACTCATGTAGTAAGGGTTCATCATGGAACGATTTGGCCCAGACGTGCCCATATAACTCGCGTAGCTGCTCTTGGAACTGAATTGATTCATCAAATTGCTGCCCTGCTGTATGGGTTGTAAATATTTATTGACATTAGGCGGGCGTCCCCTTGGTCGACCAGTAGACGTTAAATTTCTATGTGGTTTGCGAGAATTTTGTGAAGATTGTGGAGACGTAGAGTTTGTTTGTACTTGCGGCGGCGGTGCCTGTGATAAGATTTTCTTGGATTAGATAACGAAAGTGCCAATATAAAGCAACGCAGATGCGTTTATTTACCGAGACTGTGGGAGCAGCTTGGGGCTGTACGTGAACGGTAGTGCTATTGTTGATCGACGCGATTTTGTTCGCTTGTATTTGACGCTGGCAACATTTGATGGCAATATCCAAGGTATTACCTTCTAGGTTCTAGAATATAAGAAAAATTATGGAAAAATCACATTTAAAATTATCACAACTGTGTTATTTCGCGACTTAACGTGTTCGTCAGAACGTCAACTCGGTAAATTTTGCTTACTTTCTTTAATAATGTTCTACAAATATTATAGTAAAACTCCTGTTTAGGGGATCCAGCTTCTATGACCTTCCTTGACCTTAACATATATTATGAAGATCGCTTTTCTAAATATTTTTTAACAGGTTTTAGCTGTCGCTCGTTGTTTGTTAAAAAAATTATTAACAAAAAAAAGTTTTATAAATAGAATTTTTGCACACAATGTACATTAAAATAAATAGTTCACAGTACAGTAACTCACAGAAGAGCTGCAGTGTACAGGTAGATTAAGGTGTAATACAGATGTACAGGTAGATAAGTAAGTCAAACTGAACAAAAAATTTCTCTACTATTTTGCGAACAACTACATCAAATTTTGAGCTATTAATCAAAGAAAATTCAATGAATAATCATGCGCCATACAGTAGATGAGCTGTGATGACAAGGTTTATCACTGTATACTTGTTATACTTATATATTAGATCAAAAAAGTCCTCTACTATTTTTTAAATGACCATGTAGATGTTTAGTTATTAATTAAAGAAGATTGGTATGCGTAAGATTGCATTAATATGCACAACTGTATTAATATACACCAGCCTTCTTTAATCAATAATTAAACATATATGTGGTCATTCGCAAAATGATAGAGAACTTTTTTGTTCAGTTTGATTTAATATATAAGCAGTGGCAGACATCGGCATCACAGTTCATCTAATGTATGACTCATGATCATTTACGAACCGTTTTTTCAATGTTACTAAGAAACATATCCTTGATAACATATATTAAGGGCAAGATCGGAGTAAAAATAGAGAATCGATTCTCTATTCTTACTAAAAATGTATAGAATGAATTAGGTTAAATTAATTTTTTTTAAGTACGGGGTCCAGAAGGGAGGGCGGACCCTTTCCCTCATATATGTATACCGTATTTCAGTATGTACTATGTACAAAAATTACGTTTAATTTATAAAATTTTTTTTGTTAATAACTTAAAATAAACAATGAGTAACGACTAAAACTTCTTGAATATTATTCAGAAAGATATCCTTGATAACATATGTATCAGACAAAGTCATGAGTCCTCTAAACAGAAGTTTTACCAATATTATAATGACGTTTCATTATGAATGTTACTAAATAAAATATTAATATGTTTTCCTCTTTTTTCTGTTTCTAATTTAGTCATTCATGAATAGATAATGTATGCACATCTGGTGAAGGAACACTATTTACTCAGTTGCACATATGACGTCAATATAAACTGGTCTATCAATCATGTTATATATGATAAATTAAGCTATAAATTAATAGTCAAGTACTTACTTTATTTCCTATGTACATTTTGTACGTGTCTGTTAATAACGTTGCAAATGCCTGTATAGTCGAATCTTTACCCTGAAAATTTTTCTGCACAAGTTGATATGTCTCGTACACATCAAGTAGTACTTGTGTTCTAGCGTCAGTTCTGATAAGGTGGACACTATCAATAGTGCTTGCCGAACCCATCGCTTGAACTCTACTTCTAAGTGATTGTTGGCAGAGTGTCAAAGCTTGGCGTGATAATTGTTCTCTCTCGGAGTCACGTAAGTATTTTCTAGGTGTAAAAAATGAATGATAAATGATAAAGTTAAGTGATAAATTATCCGTCTACTTCTAATTACAAACTAATTTGTGTTATTAATTAAGTTTAATCATCCGAGAGTAATCTTACTTGTCTGAATCCGGTATTTTTCCAAGCTGTATACACAATTGCATTAACATTCGACTATCGTTGGTCTCTTTTAATACTTGCATAAGCAACGTCACGCATTTCGACATATGTGAGGCAAAACTTCCAGGTCGATCGATTTCGTTGATTGGTATATGCCACACACCCTGGAAAAGTAATATAATATCATTAATACAAATATTTACATATAATATCGTATGTATATTTATATTAATTACAAAGAAAAACAGAAAAAGTTGTTTTAATGATTTTACTATCTCGTATAAGGAGAGAATAGTGTAATAAAAATTACAATACAATTTTAGTACTCCGGGAATAGACAAAAAATTATAAGATATAGTAAAAGTGACTATGAATATAGTAAAAATTATCATAAACGTAATAAAAATTATCATGTTTATGGTCACTTTTATTATGTTTTATTCTAATTTTCGTAATAGTCTATTCGTGGACTATTAAAATTATATTGTAATTTTTATTACATAATATTATCTCTGTGTATATATATATATATATATATCTTTTAGTTGCAGAAAATCTATCAACTCTTAAACATGGCTATGAAATATAATATAGTTGTATGTATGATCGTGATACTACTGTATCTGCATGTCTGTTCTGCACTTTCTATCAGGTAATAATTGCTTGTTAGATGTGTAATATTTTATAATCATTCATTGGTTATCTTGTGTCTAAATAACATTGCAGTAGAAGACCGTGGCGTTGTCGTGGCGTATCGAAGAGAAAATTGATAATAGACACAGATGCTGGCGGAGACGATGCTTTAGCATTAATGCTGGCACTTCTGTACGAAATCAAGACCTGCGATATCGAAATTTTAGCTATAACTTGCACATATGGTAACGCGTACTTGGAAGATGTGATACAAAACGTGTTGAAAACTTTAACTGTTGCTGACAGAAATGATGTAAGTACATAATTATCAAATGATTATTTTAGTACATACATCCAAATTTTTGGAATTTACGAATACATATTGAATTGCGTGAAATATCTTTATGTACGATTTTTTTTAAAATTTGGCAGGTACCAGTATACATCGGGTCTGTAAAACCACTAATAAACACGTATAAATTTGACAATTATTTCGGCGAAGACGGGTTTGGAGACTTTAATTTCACTGAACGAATAACTGCGAAAGTGGATAAGACCAAACCTGCTCCTATGGTACTCGCAGACCTAGTGAAAAAATATCCGAGTAATTCAAAGAGCATTTGTAGTATTTATTTACCTAACACATACATTGTTTTTAAAATATTAAATTTTTTCTTTTTCAGATCAAATAACTATAGTCGTTCTTGGACCTTTGACAAATATTGCTGTAGCAAATATGCTACACCCTCGTTTCATAGATAACATAAAAAAACTTATTATAATGGGATCAAACATCGAACCGGACTCTAAAATCGAATTCAATTTTGAACAAGATCCAGAAAGTAATTGGATAGTATTAAATAACACTAATAAAATCCACACTGTATTTCCAATAGATACAGTAACTAGTCATAGTATTGCAAAGGTAATATACTATACCATAGATACGTATGGATTATTGATCATGCAATAATGCAATATTGTTTTAAACAGGAGGAACGTGGAGAAATCTTTAATAAGATAAAAAATTCGTTCGCGAACTTTTTATCTTTAGCTGAGAGAGTACCTTTAGAAAAAACAGAACTTTGGGGACCAGCGGATGGCATGACTATGGCAATTGCATTAAAACCAGAAATAGTTTCGGAAACGTTTAAAACTAATTTAGAACCGGTACTTATTGGAAATCGGGGTGAAGTTGTAGTAGATCCCAACAATACCGTACACAATGCAGAAATTATTCAAAGTATCAATGTAACTGCATTTAAAGACTTAATAATTGAATGTCTTTCTTAATGATGGATTCGAATTGTATCACGAGCTTGCTATGGAATTATTTTTTAGTAATGCATTAATATGCTTAGTATAATTAGTATGCTTAGTATGTTTAACCCTTTACATTCGGAGTCATCTTTGCTAGATTTACAATGTCCCTTCTGAGAAGACATGCAAGCGCAAAGGGTTAATATGCATTGTTGAAACACACGGAGTATTACATATAAATACAAAAGATACTTACATTAAAAAAGTTGGTGCTTTTTCTATCTGCAAAAAGTCCTTGAAAGGTTTGTCCAGGGAAGAACTGACAATTGTATGTTCCTAGTAAAAGATCCTTGCATCTCGCAATATTCTTCGACTTTTTGTTATTAAAAAAGAAGTGTGCCAATCTATAGAACGACTTGTGATGTTCCGTGAATCTCAATATACACTGTTCCAGACCAGCCAAACAATATGCGATTAATGTTATTACTTCCTCTTCCGGCATTTGTTCCTCTGAAATACACAAATTCCGAATGACAATCTATATAATACTCCATGAGATATACTGTAACTTCCCGCTGTAATAATTAAAATAAAGGAATTGCAATCATAACTTTACCGTTTTCTATAATGTTCGAATCCTTTTTCTTCTTTTCTGCGTCACTTTCGGCAGACTCGCTGTCACTGTCGCTGGAACTATCACTGTCGGAGCTATCGTCGCTACTGCTGGACTCCTCGCTGCTACTGGAACTGGAATTATTAGTCTCCGTAGTTGTGGTTGTGGTTTGTGTAGTCGTGGTGCTTTCCTGCGAGCCTCTTCTACTCAGAGTGATCTCTTCGTTTGTGTTACCTTGCATTTTTCTTTTATCACCTACTTTCTCTTTACCATCTTTTTCCTGTTCAAATTTTAAAATAATTGCAATTTCGATCAAATTAACACTGATTTACAATAGTCGAAAGCAAAAGAAATATAAAGGAGATAAACGTACAGTAGGCTGCAAGTCTTCGTTCTGTAGCCATTTGCCATCAAATTTTCTGGTATCCTCGTCATCTAACGAGGATTGTTGAGTTTCTTGGCTAATTTCCATCGCCTGCTTCATGAGAGCGTCCATGATATCCTGTGGATTGTCAGTCTTTCGATCGGAATCAACTGCCAGTACATTCGGTGAACTTTTCTTGTTCTCTTCTGTTCTTGTCTGCGGTTTCATTTTATCGGCGTTTTTGTTCTCCAGCTTCTTCTTTTGCAACCTGGGTTCGTTACTTTCGTCGCTAGACAGAATCATCACTTCGTCACTTGTTTTCTCTTTTTGCGACACCATATCGCAAACTTTTGTAATTAAGTCATCTATCAACGCTACTACGTCTTGCATCAGTTGCAGGTGCGAAACGCTACCTAATTTTATTCTCTTCGTATTGTCGTGTGATGATTCCTCGGGATACCTCTTGCGACCTTCGGACTTACTTGGCTCTATACACTTAACATCAAGGGTCTTATTTGATTTATCTACGATTTCTATTTCCTCGATACTACTTGAGCGTTGGCATACTGCTGCCACGTTTTTATCGACGTCTATCACGCTATCAGATTCCTTCGAAGTGGTTTTCTCCGCATCGGAGCACTCCTCTTTTTTCTTCTCGTTGAGTTTAGACTGATACTTCATAAAGGGTCCATCAGAGCAATTTTTGAGATGCCAGTGGAATAATTGGCCCAAAGATTTCTTCAACGGCTTCCCCTCGTGTTGCTCTAAATACTTCAGTATACTAGCGTGGATACGATAGTGAACCTCTAGCGCCTCTATAGATAGATTCTGCGGACTCTTGTGACTTATTCTACGTGGATATTGGGCATTGTTCTCGTATAATAATTCACTAGCCTGAAATCAGGCAACGCGATGCATTAGATACGAGCAATAAAAAAATAAATATAGAACATAACAGATAAAATATCTAACCTTTGCATAATGTTCTAAAAATACAGGAGGATCCTCATTCTTCTTTTCCGCGACTTTACCGAGCATATATTGATAAAGCCATCTCTCGTCATGATGAATAGATGGCTCGTCGATAGTCTGACATATTCGATTAGCTGATTCGAAACATTGATCCGCGATATCCAGCATCTCCTCCTTTCTGGTCTCCAAAATTTCAAATCTCTCCATACTCAAGGTATCGGTCTCTTGTTTGAGCAGTCGCGAACAGAACGAATGAACCATATAAACAAAGTTCCCGTACTCTGTCCAGATCACAGAATGTCCTGGTGCTAGCTCGATAGCGTGATGATAACTCGACTGTGCCATCTTCGCTTTATTGAGAAATTTATCCTTCCCTCTATCGATACAAACGAGAAAACGTTTAACGTCATTATTGCAATTCGCACGGATTTAGGAAGATGCAATTAAGAGAGCGATACTCACATAGGTCTGTAATTATTTAGCCAATTCTCGATTATACTGCCCGTTGCCATAGCTAAACCTGCCCACGAATTTAATCCCCTCGGATATAAGCACAGATCCAGAAGATAGTAACGGCAGGCATGTTCCCACTTGTTATTCTTGAAATAGAAGTCGCCTAACAAGTAGTAAATGGTAGATATCGCGTGCGGCAACGGTTTCATCACGCTCGGCATCTTCTCCTTGGCACCGATTATGTAGGCCGTGACGTCCTCTACTATTTGATTCGGGTCGCTCTCTTGCGGAACTAGTCTAATTATCCTCTTAAATAATATCTCCGTGTCCATGCTGATAGAGAGAATTCTGGGAGATTGAAAATTGGGCAGCTGTTTTGGCTTATAAAAATCGAATAGCAATTGCGCTCCATCCCAAGTTAATTCCATCTGCGGCACCACGTGATCTTGAAGATGTTTCGGTCGCACCTTGTTCATCCTGTTGGGATGGCCGTACAAACAGAAGAATATCTGCTCGAGATGTTTCGTGAGTCTATTCTTGATAGAAGCATACTGCGGAGTCTCGAGTTGCGGTATGATTAAATTCATGGTGAAGAACAATAATTTCGCCTCGTTGAAACAACACCACGAGTGTCTACCGATAAATTCATGGGCAGTGAACAGAATCATTATGGACGGTGGGATGCCCTCATCCTCATCATCCGACTCGGAATGATGAGAGCCGTGCATCTTATTTTTATAAGGGGATTCAGCCTTTGCTCTCTCCTTGTCTTCCTCACTATTAAGATGAAATTCAAGTTATAAGTAATAATAATAAGTAATAATCGCTCATGCGTTATATTAATAGAGACGTTTTTCGACAAACTTACTATTGTAGAATATAATGCAACAGGATCCAAGGTAACACAGTTTCAAGTGGCATTTCTACAGCGTTCTCTGGTACATCCAATTGATGACAAACGATATGAACTAGATTTTGAACCAATCTCGACAAACGAGACTCCGGCAGATATTTTACTGCAATCACGGCGAATCATGTAAACAATGTAGTAAAGTTAAAGATATAAATTATTTTATTAAATTGACATGATCTTACCGGCAAATACGCTAACTTCGATTGTACAGGTTTCTAATTTTTCGAGTGCCATCAGAACAGAACTCGTCCACTTCTTCTGTTCAGCTTCGTTGGAAGAATTTAGATAGTTTTGCCACGATTCATTGAGACAAGCTTCTGCCCAAACGTAACATTCCTAAAAATATACGATATTGTTGAATAATTTTAACATATTATTTTCTACGTACATATTTATATTATATTATAATAACATTAATAATTACATTAATAATGGTTATATATTACCTCATACTGTTCAAGTTGCCATAAACTATCGAGTAACATGGTTAGTTGTCGAACCCTATCGACAATGTTCTCATTCGTTATTAACAACTTGTGTCTTTGTTTGGCAAATTTAAAAGTATCTTGCAGTATGTAAGAGAGCTCTGCATATTTCTTCTCGTCATACAGACGCTGGATTTCGCCCAACTTTTGACCTCTGTATAATTAAGAAAATGAAATTGATCTATTCTAATATAATACATGTTAATGTATTAAGATTGAAAGAAACCTTTGAATCGACGTAAGTTTCTTCTTTACAAGCTTCGTGCTAATTTGAGAGTTATTCTTACAGTTTGAAAGAGTGATACAAGCATTTGGTTTCTTGCTTTCGATTACTTGCAGGCGACTTAACAACTGAAAATGGTACATATATATATATAATTTATATAAAAATACGAAATTATTCTGATTATTTCTTTGTCAATTAGAAGATTTCTTACCAATTCTAATGTCTCTATGACGACATCAAAATCACCTTGGCACAAGAAGATATTAGCTTTGAGCCATAAGATCCTCAGTAAAATGTAAATATTTTCTTCATTCAAGAGATCTTGTCTAACACTTGTGAATATTATATGTCCCAATTCTTCCGCTGGCAGTCCAGTACCAAGCTTATCCAACCTGCAAGAATAATTTCATAAATAGAGAGAGAAGTTTTTCATTAATAAAACGTTTACAAACACAATAAAAATATAAAACTTACGTTGAACCTGATAGAGTATCTGGTTTATTATCTAGCCATCTGTCTGTATGAAGTTCACCAAATAATAATGTCATTTCAGTATCTAACTTCAATATTTTTTCGTCAATATTCTCCTCAAACGGCGACAAGTGTGGGATATGTTGTCTGGAAAAAAAAAAAATATTCCTTGTTTATAGTACTACGATGAATATTCCTTTTTTGCGCCACTACCTCATAAAAGGATATGCCTGTAAGTAAATTTCCGACATTCCTTTCGGCCATTCCTGATTCCACTTGGTGCATAGAAACTCTGCGTATTTCGCGATGATTATCATTAGGTTACTTTTATTGCTATGCTGATTTATAAATGCGTCCACATCGGCAATTTCTGCTTCTGTCTCAAAATATTTTTGCTGTTGACTGTACAAAGAAGATTGAATGACATAACGTTTCATATTACACCGGATAGAAATTAAATTATAAATAAGTACTTTGCGTCAGGGCTTGGCGATTTAGAGCTTTCCGAACTTTTGAGGGCTTCTATGTTGTTGCTGCCATTATTCTCTTGATTTGCGAATAACTGATACATATCCATAGTATCCATAGAATCATCAATATTTTTAGTAACATCGTCCTTAGTCAACCTTACCGTATCCGGCCTGTTATAAGTTAGAGTATATCTAAATACATCATTTCTCAATACAAATTTTTGCATCTAATATACGTACAATAAAGTGCTGGGAAATAGTCTTCTGAGTGTTTCTTCCAACTGAACGTCATCCCTCTCTGCTTCCCTCCTGTTCGTACCTCTTACTCTCGCGGATCGTCTCATGCTACTGCAACTCCAAGCCCACTGTTGCAAGAAACACAATGCACTTCTACGCCTCTTTTTCACCTTTTGTCCCTCTTCCTTTCCATCGATCTTTTCAGAATGAACCTTATCGTCCGCTTTATTCAGCGCGTCATTTGCTTTCTCGACACCTTTCTCAGAAGCTTTGTCACTCGATTTGTCGCTTTCCTTGTCGCTGGATTTTTCATTAGGCGCCCCGTTATCCGTGCTATAAACGTCATCTGTAACTTTGTCGCTCTCTAGCTTGTCGGTATTAGCATCTACTTCGTACTGCATCTGTTCCTCCGAATCTATGTTTTTGGTTTGACTTTGTTCTTCAAATTGTAAACCGTCCGTGTCAGACATTCTCAATGGATCTTCATCTTCGATTATCTGTACATCAGTTGAGCAAGATTTCTTGTCGTCTTCGGTTTCAACTTCCATCGCAGTATCTGAAGCTGTATTGAAGGCTTGATTGTCATCAGACATCTCAAAAGTACAATCCTCCGCTTCCATCTTAACAGACTTGCCAATATCATTATCTCCGTTTGGAATTGAATCATGTAAATTCTCTTGTTCCACCTCCATAGCATTACTTTCTTCAGCTTCACACTCATTACTTGCCACTGCATTCTTGTCATCGGGTTTTTGAACCAATAATATAATTCGACTAACAAAGTTCAAATTGTTTTCAGTAACATACCTATGCATGTCTAACAAGCTTTCTCCAAGGGCTAACCATGTATAGCTTATTAGAGGCATTCTTAAATTTAATTCTGGCAATGGTTTTGGTGTGAATTCAGCTTTACAAAATTCTGCCCATTTTTCAGAAACCTCCTTTGCCTCCGCTAATAATTTATCACCCAATACATGATCATATTCGGTATACAAAGGTGGGTCTAATTGCCAATCACTATTATACAGCTTATAACATTCTTCCATACATGGGATGTTTTTAAATATTTTGTCACGAAAAGCTAAACCCTTTACATAACTAGGATCTTTTTCCAATGCCATAGAAATATATAATAGACAGTTCATGTAATCAGGAACGGCATATAAGGCAGTTATTAAATTGTCTAGGCATGGCCAATGATTCGAATTACACTTCAGACCTTGCTTAAAAGATGAGCAAGCTAATTCTAAATTAGAAATTTTCATGGCTAATGTGCCAATCCTGTACCACAATGTTACATCGGAATCATCCAAGTTTGCAGCCTCCCAGTAGTTTTCCACAGCTTCCACATAATTCTCAAAAGCCACTTGAATAGCACCAATGTTCTTGAAGCAGGAATACTTTAAGGATAACATCGGTCTTGATCTGCCATCTGGTACTTCTGGCTTTTCTACTTCATCCAGTAATTCAGTTTCTAAAAGATCTTTAAAAATAACCAGTGCTTCCTCTCGCTTATCTTCTTTCAACAATTCTAAGGCTTTGTTGTATTCTGTTAGTGCTATTTGTTCCTGAAATATGTGATACAAAATATAAATAACAAATATATTTTTATGTTAGGTGGTAATTTGGCTTGTACAAACTTCTAAGATAAACTCACACTAGATGTACTATGTTCTTATTATTTCTAGTTGAATTTTAGAATTCTCAGCATACAATGGCACATATATAGATTGTAATTCATCAAACAATTAACCCCAATTTACAATATGCTCTTTGCTTCTTGTTTCTTTATCTCTTTTAGATTTAAATCTTAAGCCAGAAGAAGATAGAAAATATGAAATAGGAAGCAAGGAATACATTGTAGATTAAAAAAAACTTTTAATGTTAAATACGGGACACGAAATTGAATTTCTGTGCCTATGATTGTCGATTGAATTTAACGCTCTACACACTTGATAGATGATAGATATACAAATTCAATGTAAATTTATACTGCAGATAACGTTTATTAGTGATAATGTTAAACGCTAAGAATATCGAAATTTGCGCGCCAGAGAAGCACCTGATTCTTCGCAAATGTGACCGATTTTGAGGTTATATGTCCGAGTAAAGAAACGACTGCTCGCATTCTTACCTGCGCCTCCTTCGTGATCGTAGGTAAATCTTCCTCCTCGCTTTCCTCACTCGACTCTTCGTTGAGAGCAGATATCTTAATCATACTGCCCATTTCTCGCACAGTATCAACGCCTACATATGCAAAACATCAACAAATCAGCCGGTTTTTTCGCACGCCGCCATGCCAATGAACCACGCATACGGACTTAGATGGTCTAGATAGTCTAGATAAGAATTAGTACCCCTTATAGAGATATCTATTCTTTCTTGGTGCACCTCGCACTTACATTTTGTATACTGCAAAGTGAAATAAGAAGTCTCTTTTCAGTTCTCATTTTTTTCTATTTAAAGTGAAATGCACAAAATGTACATATATATATACGTAAATTCTATCAGAACGTGAAAAGGATAAAGTTCAATAAAGGTGTGAGGAAAGTGCAGGTGGGAAGAACAGATTGTGTTATCTGCCTTTGACGTCGCGAATGTGAAGATTACGTACGTTTATCTCGTCTACTGCGATTGAACTTTTAACTTTGTTTATCTTGCTTGCACAAGGGAAAATATTACTATCGCGCATAATGCATGCACCAGCTATGCAACGATGGTTCATTTAGTTCTGACATTATTCTAACGCAAATAGAACGCATATTTCCGACGATGGCATTATACGAGCAATGATAATAGTCAGATACAACGTGTAAACACTTTTTTTTGGGTGAGTGCCCGTATTACATTTGTACGATCATTTTATGATTTATATCATTCCGTTATACCGGTATGCACAATCATATTGCGATATAAAATATATCATGGTGAATTGTTTACAATGAAAGTTGCATATCTTTTGCTTTACACATATGCGTTTTTGTAATAAATATTATCTTATAAAATAACATGTATACTTCAGGACCTGAAATAAAAGTCGCAAGTGAAAACATCAGTTTATAAAAAATGTAGTTACATTTTTGTTTTTAACATTCGGTAAACAATTGATTAGGAAACTGTCTGCTGACTTCAGCTCAATGTAAAAGTGGGAGAAATAATTAATATTAGTTAATTATATTACACACTATTGAGAGAAAATGGAGATTAGAGACAGTCTTTAATGAGAACGTCAAATATGATAGATCTTGTTGGATTGCAGATTAGGTAAGGTAATACAAATTACAGTGTATCTGATAATAGAAGTGATAGTATTTAATTTTAACATGTACAAAAATATTACGGAAAGAAAATGTAGAGCAGTAATAAATAATGATGTATAACAAACAATAGTTTAATATTAATAACAATCCAAAACGTTCTCAACAAAATGATACTTTTAAAATCCTCACCATGATCTGCCTTCTCACAAGATGCATCAAGTGTTACAGTTAATTGTTGGCACTTTAAATCATTATACAAACACATACTCTTATCACATAATGGAAAAGTTCATATTTAACGGATGTAGAGATTAAAACTAATTCCATGACAATTTGATACTATTACAGTTGCTGTAATGTCAATGTAAACAGGCACAAGTATGTACATCGCAGGAGGCTGGTCGAGAGATGATACACAAACAGTAGATACACAGAATTTGTCTAATTCTGGAATAGCAACAAACAAAATTATTATAACAAGACTCTATGCTCCCGCTTATAATGAATATAATAGCCAAATCTGGCGTACAAGTGAGTCTTTCTTGTTCTATCAAATATGAATTCAACTCTAGAGATAATTGTCTATACACTTGTACGACATCGTATGCATGCAGAAATCATTATCTCTCAAATTAAAGTCATTCAAAATTAAAGTATAATCACAAATTTCCTTTTTACAGATCTCGAAATACAGAGACATTGGGCTGCATCTTTTCTCTTGCCGATCGGATCTATTTTTATTCTTGGGATGATCGTTCTACTGATGGTAATAACTCCACGTTCATCATATAATTTAGATAAAAAATAATTCTTTTTCTTATTCAAATTAAATGTTTGAGTAAAATGTGAAATCTCAAACAATAATTGTAGGTATTATTCAAACGATATCCACATACAGTGGCCGCGATTGTTGCTGCGATTCTCAGTATCATTGTTGTAGTGACAATTGTCATATCGTTCAACCATGGGCCAATTTATACTTAACACGTTTAAAGTAAGGTAATTTTGTTGATTGTTATACCGAGAAAATATTTCTTCCATCCATACGTTAAGTCGCCAGCTCTGATATTATGTCTAAGAGTTTCTTTTAATAATTATATACACTGAATAAATAAATATATTGTTACTTACTACTAGGAGTGCTTGCTCATCATTTTCATCTCTATCATATCGTCCGAAACGCGTTTTACCATTTCTATATATTTTTCCAACGTTGTGTACAATCTCTCGTAGCTCTGAAACATAGATTACAATGTGTGTGTGTATGTTAAATTATGCCTTAAAATAATACGTCAATTCCATGAGTGAATTTATCATACCTCTATGTAAGTGGAATCTTTATTCAAGTATTCTAATTCACTTAAAAGTACTTCTATAGTATTGAGTGGCAACCAAGTCGGTGGCGCGGTGGCTACTAACGGCGTCTCCAGGCCGAAATGTTCCTTCCCGCTGCCCAATACTGCACTGATATAATCTACTGCCAGATCGCTCGCTTCTATCAGCCGGCCAGTATTTAGCATAAGACGCAAGAGCTCCGAGGCATTTCGTTTCTGCAACATCCGATCATTGTAGGACTGCATAAATTCGATCTTATTTCATACATACCTTATATGACATTAATAACCACTGCGGCAGGAAGGCTCCATCTTGCAGTAATTTCCGCGCAACGGCTTTATGCAGCTCGCTATTGGTATTTTTCTCGTGTTTCAACGTGAAGTACTCCAACAGCCTCCAAGCGGTATTTGTAATAGTTGTATTGGATATACCGATATCTGAGAAAGAGACACTCAAAATTATTTATTATCGGCAATCCCGAAAAGAAATATACATAAAAAGGCATGATGAATTCTCGCAGTTCTCTCATAAAAGAATCACGAGCAACTATTTTTACCAAATATGTCGTTTTGTATTAACCAGTCCCAGGCATTTGGATCTTCACGTTGACTAAGTTTGATGCACTGCGACGTCAAGCTTTCGAGTACAGAGGTTTTGCTGATTTTAAATTCGTCGCATAAATGCAATGCCGTCGTATACAAGCCAGTGCTACATAAAGTGACAATAAGTTCAGATGGTTCTGAAATATATAAATGACGAAAGTGAGTTTACACAGTGATATATCTTTCGCAACAATTAACACGTTTGTGAGACATTTACCTGTATGTGCGACTATATGCATTTCTGAATTAACTTTCGAAATCTTCAATCTCGCGTCTACTATATAGTACTCCTTCTTGATGTCATCCAACTCGAGGACTTCGACTTGCTTTTTGATCTTGTAGTGTAATACTTCCTTGCCATCTATGCCTCTCTTTTTTTGCGGATTCGGCAGGCTTAACTCGTCGGCAAAGCTATGATCGATCACAGGCCTCACGATCCATCTGTACTTCTCACTCACGTGATGCAGAGCGTTGATGCACGCCAACAAACATTGAGCCTGCCTCGATATGATCAGCGCGGAATGTGACTCCTGACTCAAACGCATGGCTTGCTCGTACATCACCGATGCGGCTGTAAAAATGGTAACACATCAGTGTTGTACATTATATATCGGTTCACAGTTACATTTGCAAGAGGAGTTACCTTTACGCATGTTTTGTTTGTTCACGTGGAAACTGTACAAAAAGTTATAATAGTTGTTTTCCATGAGATCGACGCTCCTGGCTCTGCCCTCTACTATTCTCTCGAGGTCCTCGTACATATCTACGTAAGGAAAGGAGATCAAATCTATCAGCAGTTTCCTCTCGAACAGCGTGACTACCAGCTGCCGCAGGCAATCTACTCGACGCGCGGCGTCTGGATTTGCGTTTAAGCAATGGTAAGCTTCCGTGTGGTGGCCCAAGCTCAAGTGTTGCGCGAATATTATGGAATGAAGTGTTGGTAAATTTGGGTCGTCCGTGTCGGCGGCTGCTATAGCCGTCTCGGCGATCTCTATGATACAGTCGGACGCGTTGTGCTCCTCGAACAGTTTGATCACTTTTAGGTAATAATGGATCAACGCGCTGTTTCCCGTCGTAACATTAGGGCCAAGCAGAGCGTCAGCTAAGAAAACGTCGGTCAGGATACCGTTGGAAGCACGAAGAAAGTGATCGCACGCCTTTTGCATCTCTCCCATCTCCAACAAGGCAACTGCTAATATAAACTTCCTCGAAGCACTATTCCACTCGCACCATGTGTTGAGAAGCCTCACGTACTCTTGAACAAGTAGAAATTGACAACTCGACAACAGCCATTCCGGGAACACAAAGTTTCCAGATATCGGCCATCTAATAACGTTACTTAAGGAAACAGATAAATCTTTAAACTGTCTGGAATTACCAAACGGAATTGACGATCTTGTTAGAACTTACTTGACTGTTATCAATTAAACAACAGACATATGAAATCACGTCACATGAGGTATATACAAAGGATACATAAGTTGCGCGAGAAGCGTCACGTGCGTCAGCATGCTGTAATGCCAAGGTATCAGAGTTGTCGGGTCCATATTCGCTTGAGCCATCAGAATGTGAGCGTGTTTTGCACCACTGCTGTGGATAAACAGCTCCAACAGCGACAAAGATCGATGCTGCCTCTGCCCGACGCTAACTCGCGAGTCGGTGAGCTTTAACGTTGAAAGTCGTTGAGTACTGGACTCTCTGAAAGGATACATAGTTTAGTTCTTCGAAAAGATTTCATTTTCTTTTAGTTTGTTATTATAGACTATTTAAATTTAAGAAACTACATGAGACTTACAGTAACGACTGCGAAGGAGTATAAGTCGCCGTGGACTCGCATATCCACGTGACAACATGATAAGCCTGAGTGAGCACTACAGTCCTCGGCGCTAACGATGATCGTATAGTGTGCAAAGATCTCGAGTCAAATAGCTCGGGGCGTTGCAGTATGATTTGCTGTAGGATTAATAGATCTCTACAGATGGAGAATCTGAGGAGTGCGACCTGCGTTATGGTTTCCGACACCGCGGAAATTCCCAGTTGACTGCCAAATAAATGATTGATATGTAGCAGGACTTTGGAAGCATCATGACCGTTCTCGAACTGCAGCTTATTCGGCTGTCCGAGGTCATATGTTAATGCTTCCAACAGCATGGCCATGGCACCGGATATATCCTTTACGTTACCCAGTTTGTGATAGAGGTCAGATTGGAAATCGAAATCTGACAGCTGTCATTAAATGAACAAGTTGATTTCAGAGTCCACAGAGAGAGGTACGAGATAGAGAGATTAAATTGAGTACTCACCGGGTCGTTGGGTTTCTCCAACATCAGTTTTAACAGCAAATCGTCGATTATAATATCGGGACTTCTCAGATGATACAGTTCCCTCTCGATTTCCATTTTAGATTCTTCCGACAATTGTTCCCCTAACATGACCAACGCGGACATTAAGATGATCAGATCTTGACACGTGTCCTCGTCCTGCGACAGAACAGGTGTTGTCTTGAAGCGGGATGTGCAGGATTTTTCATTGCAGAGCGCCAGATGCTCCAGGGCTTCCATAGGCCTCAAAAGGGAGAACGACGACTTTTTCAGCAAGATGACGCCGTAGACACTCGGCAACAGCAGTAAGCCTACGGGACGTGTACCGTTGGCGTGATATTGGACAACACATGAGTAAAATTTCGACCAACATCTGTTGGCAATCTCTAGGTAATCTTCGTCCATGATCACGTAATCCATCACTTCTGCTTGCATCTCGGCCTCCACTGCCATACACACTCTCTCCTTCAGCACAGCTGGCGAAAGAGTCATGTCTGCGATGAGATTGGACCTTCTGTAGATGCTCAGAGCCTTCGTGATGTCCGCCAATGAAAATTGACCAGGATGAAAGATGTAATTAATGTACGCTTGTCGTGGATCTGTCCCAGGATCGCTCACGATGTAATCCCGGTCGCGTGCCTGCTCCAGAATTGCAGTTTCCCACGCGGAATTAACGTGTGTGCCATTCAGCGGTAATTGTGCGTGCGTTACCGCCACAGTGTCCATATCTGTGGTTCTCCACACCGCCCATAATCTAGTGAATGTGAACGCGAAATCCACCAAGTGTTGCTGTTGGAAAATAATACAGATTCATTAAGTTTGTCACCGAAAAGGGATGATTGCATGCTTGTTAACAAGAGAATACTCACGTCCGGCGCGTACAACGTGCACAGTCTAATGAACTTGAACATGCCGTTATCTTGCACAGGCTTTAGAATACTGAATTCGCATTCTGCGCCGAATTTCAAGAATGTACCAAGATATAACTCGTTGTCGTTGCCCAGCGCCTTCCTGAGAACGTGACCTTGCGCACCTTGGGACACAATGCGATTCTCGATCGCTGCGTCTGTTACTGCTGTGCACTGTGTCTTATTGCAAGACCACATGCGTACATTGCCCTCTCGGCATAGCGCGAATAAGTACATATCGCTACCGTAACTGTGTATGACAAGAGACATTGCCACGTGGGCCTCGGTATTGCGACCTCTGAACGCAGTAGCAATGCCGCTCAAGAATCTGGGCACTATCGAGTCTTGCTTCAATTCGCTAGTATGTACGAGACCTGTGAGTGCTTCGAGTCTCAGAAGTAGTATAGTAGCTGAACTATAGGCAAGAGCGAACAACGCCTCTTCTTGTGGCAATGTGAGCCACGATGCTGCTGCATGAGGTACTGGTGAATCTAAGGAAAATAAAAAGATACCAGTGAATGACATAGTTTAATATGTATAAGGAAAAAACTGATGAAAATGAAGCTATATATTATTAAATGGAAATGTCATATTTGCTGCAGATACAGCTTGTGTATATAATGAAGAAAAAATCTGATAAAAATGCATCTATATATACACATTGTTAAATGAAAGTGTCACATTTGCTGTACGCTACAGACTTACTTGTGGTCCCAGCATTGGCAATAATATGAAATGTATGAGGATCTCTGGCATTTTGTACAGAAGCTTCACTAAATATAGACTGTACACTAAGATCCGTATATGTACCCAACAAGTTCTCCTTTAAGTGAAACAAATGAATTGTCAGTAGACTGTTAGTTACAAAACTATAAACAGTAAAATTCATGCTTACTTGTCTGTGAATCTTATCTGGATGAGAAAACAAAAGCTTATGGACACTGGAGACAGTGACAATCAGAATAATGACAGAGTTGACTGTCTCATGAATGGAGATTCCATCCAAAATTGGTGTATCTGTAAACTTATATCTGACTCTGCAGTTTGCTAGATTGATGTCTAGACTGTGTTCAATCAATTCAAGTATATCATGGCAAATACGCCAATAAATGAAACGGTTACGAGTGAAGTATTTGGAGCTGTCTTTATATGAATAGCCACCTGCCCTTTCTGGCACCTTTATATCTTGTAATGTGCTCTGGCTTCCACCTGCAAAAATAAAATTCTGACCATCTACTCACTCTTGAAGAAATAATTGCAATAATATCAGTCTATTTTTATTACATGTATTATTGATATATATAATTATTGATTTTTACAGCGCATATTTTTGACATGTTAAGTTTAAGATTAGAGAATTACATTTGCCGTAAAATATATACCGAGTGACCAGAATAATTTATTCAAGATGAGTAACGGATAGAGGTTAGACAATAGAGAGGTTAGATAAGTGTGCAATTGAAATTGCTACTTCAATTCACAATTGTTATAAAATATATAATTCCCGCGAACATCTTATTTCGACATCACTGAGAATGGCTCTTCGAAACGCTCTCAGATGACGTTACGAACGGTATTTTGGTTTGCCGGGCTATCATACGGAGGTTATGTCCTCACCAGTATTCAGGGTGATTTCTTTCCATTTTTCTGGCAGAGTTTGATCCGGTACAACCTCGCGATACCCCAACGGGAACTCCACCATTTTCTGATCCTTTGCGAAGAAGCACTAAAACTACTCGTCCGTCACTTTACATCACAATCCACTGTGAATTTGAGCGGGCACTCAATAGTTTTTGGCGCCGCCTCGTGCTTCGCTCGTAATGTGTGTGTGTGTGTGTGGTGTGTGTGTGTGTATGGTGCGTGCGTGATACAGGGCGCGTATCGGGTGTCCTCGACGGCATCACGCTGTCCAGTGTCGAGATATCGATATTCCGCGGTATGTGGAACATTTTAAAATTGACCAATCGCAGTACCGCGAGAATACTTGTTTTTCGATAGCTTGCAAGTTTGAACGCCGCGATTGGCCGGATTCAAACGATCTCGATTGTCATTTCGTCGACATCTTGGCGCTCGATAATTTTTAACTTCCATTACCTGTCATACAGCTAGAACACCCTGTAGAACATTCCGCGAGGCAATGTACTACGCGCGTACGCACGCGTCTATCGAAAAAAGTCACGTGGGCTGCTTGTAGTAGCGTGAGTGATGCACGGTGAATTCGCGTCAAAATGCTGAATGAATGTCGGTAAATTGAATATTTCCAGATACTACGAACATGGCGTGTTATTTGAGGGTTACGAGTGAATCGGCGGTCGTGAGACGGGAGGATGAATGAAATCGAGGAGGATGGAACAATCGCGGCTTTATTGTTGATGATTCGCGCTGGCTGTGGCATCAGGATTTGTTGTCGCCGTTTGTTGGTGCTTTGACATGCATACGCGCGGGTCGCGTGCGACAAGTATAACCTGTTTACGGTATTAAACGTTATCGTAATTGAAGACGCGAGAAAAGAAAAAACTATCGTTATCGTCGCTGCCATCGAAATCATTAATTGTACGACCACGAGCGATACGATTGAATTTTGAGTATGAATCAGAAGGTGGTCACCGCGTTTTACTTGTTGTTAAACATAGTCCTGTCGATCACCATTGTACTGCTAAACAAATGGCTCTACGTCAACACCGGCTTCCCGAACATCACGTTATCGATGATCCACTTCATCATGACATTCGCCGGCTTGATCATCTGCGAGAAGCTAAATGTCTTTTGTATCAAGGATATCGATATCAAGGAGATGGTGCTGATCGCAATGACGTTCTGTGGATTTGTCGTGCTGACGAATTTGAGTTTGGCTCATAACACAGTTGGGACGTATCAGGTGGCAAAGATGTTGACAACACCCTGCGTGATAGTGATGCAGATGATATTTTATAGGAAGCAGTTTAGCATACCTGTTAAGTTGACATTGTTACCCATCACACTGGGAGTCATAATCAATTTTTACTATGACATACAATTCAACATCATTGGGACTATTTATGCAACACTGGGAGTGTTTGTAACATCTCTGTATCAAGTGGTAAGAGTCATCGCTCTTTTGTTGCGTAATTTTAAAAACACATTTCTCAATGTGAACATGTAGAAATTCTTTCTTTCTTACAGATGGTGAACAGAAAACAGAGAGAATTTCGAATGGATCCAATGCAACTGTTATTTTATCAAGCACCACTGTCTGCTGTCATGCTCCTCATTGTCGTTCCTGTTTTGGAGCCGGTTGGACAAACGTTTGCGCACAATTGGTCACTGTTGGACATAGTATGTTTTTTAGAATTCTTTCTAGTCATTATTAGGTTGCAGGAATCTGTTTATATGTATTGTATCTTTCATATGCTGCTCTTACCTGCAGATCATGGTAGTACTGTCCGGAGTGGTTGCATTTTTCGTAAATTTGACTTCCTACTGGATCATAGGGAAGACCTCGCCCTTAACGTATCCTTATGTAAAATTATCACAAGAAATTCGCAAACTTGCGCGTTATACTCTTTAACAAATTATATTCAGATACAACATGGTTGGACATTCCAAATTCTGCCTGCTCCTGCTGGGTGGTGCATTACTTTTTCGTGAAACGTTAGCGATCAATCAGTTGATTGGTATAACATTGACATTAGTGGGAATTATATTATATGCTCATGTCAAGGTAAGTCCAGCTTCTGCGCTGTGATCTTCTCGTCAATTATTTCGTTTATTCTCGTCGTTTATTTCGTTTTCTTTGTTTGCAGATGAAAGATAATCATACCGTAGCGCCGGAGTTCGAAGAGAGAGAAACAAAGCCGTTGCACAAAGTATAATATCATTTCCAGAGTGGTAGTTGATCGAGGAAACTCGAAATTTGACGAAGTTTATCAGTCAGCCGGTACTTAAAAGCGCATATGTTTTCTAAGTCTTGAAGTCTGTTGCAATAAACGTTAATACGTAACTGTCTTTCAAATCTTCCTAATCCCAACTGAAATATCATAGCATGCAATGATTAAACGTTTCTCGTATATTACACTACCATAAAAGTAAGTACAAACTTTTATATTTTGGCACGAAAGAAAGAGGTTTAATACTTCCGATCGTTAACATCGTTAACTAATGCTGCAATTCTAAGCAAATATACGAGTAAATCGTAAAGACGTAGCTTACGGAAAAAACAAAAAAAAATCGTAGATATTTACGAGTTATCATATGATATACAGTTTGCATAGAATTACAGATCTATTCATAAGTTCACGAGTTACGAATTTTGTCTAGAATTGTAGTAGTATAAAGCGTCTTCTACAATGGCAGTAGGAGTAGTAGTAAGAAATAATCGATTGTGATTGGTCTATTTACTTACTGCTTATTTCTTACTACTACTCCTACTGCCATTGTAGAAGACGCTTAACTCGTCTCTATGAAAAAAAGAATGTAGGTACAAAAAACTGTCACGTATCTGTCCAAGTTGATCGGCGTTAGTGTAACAAATCGAACGAAACGTTATAAGGTAACAAAAGAGAAAAATAAAATCGCGTTTTTATGGCAACGTTGAAATATGATATTGCGCCTGTAGATAAAACAAAGAGGGAATTGTAGTAACTCGGTGTGGCAAAAGGGTCGCCGTCACACCTAGGGTTAGGGGGTAGTTGAAATTAACGGAACGTCAACTCATGCAGATTCGTCATTAGTTTTACCCAGGTGCATCGGACCCGATAACCTCCCTTCTAGGAGGCGTTTATATACGGACCACTTGGTAGTTGCAGCACCTTCGCGAAACTATCCTCCAGTGAGACATCTGGATTTCAGAAAATGTATTAACTGCTAATCGGATGGATTTTTTGAGCAGATATTTTTTGCGATGGTGTTTAGGATTATCTTCTCGGTATGAATACATCGTGATCGTTTGCGACGTATATTATGTTTTCTCAAATACAAAAAAATATGCATCTCATTTTATCGTGGATAATAGGTCTCGTTTTAGGAAGATGTCGTCGATGGCGATTGGATCAATAAACGGGTCGTGCTTGAGCTTAAGAATGTGGCGCGCAATTTGCGGAAAGCTGTGCATTTGAAACCCGCCAATGGTGGGAGTATTGTAAGCTTTCGCGTGGTGTCGCCACCGACGACGAGAGGGGGCGATAGTGAGGGCAAAAAGTTGCGGACGGGGGAGTTGTTACACGTTTATCAATCAAACAAAGTAGTTAGCAACGTATCTGTACGTGCATGTCTCGCTTCTTATGCTTTTCCAATTCACGAAAAGTCAGCAATGAAGATCGAGGAGGTAAAAAGCACCGCCAAGACGCAGAGGATTTCCGCACACACGCATATCAAGGGTCTGGGCCTTGACGAGAATGGTATCGCTATTCAAAACGCAGCCGGTCTCGTGGGTCAGGAACTGGCGCGTGAGGTTAGTTGTTTAAGAGCGATGTTTCTGTAAAAGGGCGAGTTTTTTAATTCACCGATGGATCTATCGCATGATGCGTAAATAAGACGAGTTTTTTAATTTATCGATGGATCCATTGCATGATGCGTAAATACAACGAAACATTGCATTTGCGCATCATGCGATGGATCCATCAATGAATTAAAAAACTCGACCATATAGCGAAACCTACATTTGCGATGGATGATCGATGAATTAAAAAACTCGACCAATTCGAAAATTATCATATGAATATGTGCATTTTCCCGGTTGTAATAAAAATAAGGTCTTTTTAAACCACATCCGACCTAACAACAAACCTAAATCACATACTGAGATATAATTCTTTGCTAAAAGACGCTAATCATGTCTTTATATACTGAGAAAAGAGAGAGAGAGAGGTTTTCCTTTACAATGATTTAACACTCAATTGTAACGTTAATATTATATTCACAGGCAGCTGGAGTTGTTGTCGATATGATAAAGTCAAAGAAGATGGCAGGACGTGCTGTGTTATTAGCAGGCCCACCAGGTACAGGCAAGACCGCGATAGCTCTTGCCATTGCTCAGGAACTCGGCAACAAGGTACCTTTTTGCCCAATGGTGGGCTCAGAAGTTTACAGTTCTGAGATAAAGAAGACCGAGGTTCTCATGGAAAACTTCAGAAGGGCCATTGGCTTGAGAATTAAGGAGACGAAAGAAGTATATGAGGGTGAAGTAACAGAGTTGACACCTGTGGAAACAGAGAATCCCATGGGTGGTTATGGCAAAACTGTCTCACATGTAGTCATTGGATTGAAAACAGCTAAAGGTACAAAACAGTTAAAGCTAGACCCTTCCATATATGAGTCCTTGCAAAAAGAGAAGGTAGAGACTGGTGATGTAATTTACATTGAGGCAAATAGCGGTGCTGTAAAGAGACAAGGTCGAAGTGACAATTTTGCCACGGAATTCGACCTGGAGGCAGAGGAATATGTTCCATTGCCAAAAGGTGATGTACATAAGAAGAAGGAAGTTATTCAGGATGTAACACTGCATGACTTGGATGTAGCTAATGCCAAACCACAGGGAGGTCAGGATATCATGTCTATGATGGGGCAATTGATGAAGCCTAAAAAAACGGAAATTACAGGTAAAAAGTTATATATTATTTTTATGTAATCATATATATATAAGGTGAACTACTTATAATGTTAATGATAATTGTAAAATATACATTATATGCATCATATGAATAAATGGTTATAGACAAGATTCATTTGATATTAAAGGGGACATAAGATGATACTATCAGTAATATTATAGCTGACACTATTATAGGTCAAACAAAGATCAACTATATATTTTTTTAATGGATCTATTCTCGTAAATCTCTTCATAGATATGTGTGAAAATAGCATGAAACAAGTGATCTTTTTTTAAAGTCATCTTAAATTGCTCATGTTTGAATTGTGCACATTTTTGTCTAGAAATAAAAATATGCTTAATTATGTATGAATTATTTTAGACAAGCTTCGGAAAGAGATAAACAAGGTAGTAAACAAGTACATCGACCAAGGTATCGCCGAGCTAGTGCCGGGAGTATTATTCATAGACGAGGTTCACATGCTTGACATAGAGACGTTCACATATCTTCACCGCGCTCTGGAGAGCGCTATAGCGCCGATCGTTATTTTCGCTACAAATCGTGGTCGCTGTGTGATTCGGGGCACTGAGGACATCGTCTCTCCGCATGGCATACCTCTCGACTTGTTGGATCGTTTACTCATCATCAGAACTCTTCCCTATTCTAGGCAGGAGATCGAACAGATCGTGAAGCTGCGAGCCGTCACGGAGGGTTTGCAAGTCGAAGACGAGGGTCTCTCAGTTCTCGCCGAACTCGGCACGAAAACTACTTTACGATACGCGATACAGCTTTTAACACCTGCGTACTTGACGGCAAAGATCAACGAGAGACCCAGTGTCAAGAAGGAAGATATCGACGAAGTCAGTGCGCTTTTCTTAGACGCTAAGTCATCCGCCAAAATACTTACGCAAAATCAAGATAAGTTTATGAAATAAAAATTAAGTCTTAATAGAATAAATATTAAGTTTTACAGTACACTATTCTCTTCAAGTTGCTTCCCTTCATTTTCCAAAACTACGTTAACTAAGTTTAATTACGTTAACTACGTTAAACAATTTGATCAATTTGTGATTGATTTTTTATTAGGTTTTCTCTTCGAACTTTCATTCGTCCAGTTATATTTTTATTAAAGTAATAATTGCTTGAATTGTACATACAGCGTGGTAGTGTCAGCATAGAACTATTGTTAATAAATTGCATTATGATCAATAAGAATTTCATGTACTGAAAATACTAAAAATTTTTCATACAAATTAATCTTACATATAAATGTATCGTTTATATTAATAATATAAATTGTATACAAATAAAAAAATTTCTGGCAAAGAATGTATGTATATATGTACACGCGCGCACACACATTTGAAATATTGAAAATATATTTTTAATTAATAATTATATTTTTGGTATAACTAAAAGTATATATACTCGTCGAGTACGCGAGAATAGAAAGTAAGGCCTTGCGGAAATCACGGTCACGTATAATCTATGTATTGTACAACGTTTGCGAGACTTGTGCGGTGAATAAAATAGCTAAGTTTTACTAAGCTACATTAGATTAAATCTTAAATTTGTAAATATCACAACACATACAACAAACGCGATAACAATTGCAAAATATCAAAATATTGTCTTAGACGTCTTGCAGAGCTCAGGGTTCAAGTCAAGCCGTAATCAGAAGTTGTGACATCATGCGTACGATGCAGTGGATATAAAATCTCCGTCAAGAGTTGAACATTTCTTAGTTTTGTGGGGACTTTCAAGCGATAACGCGCCAACGTGAATCACACGACGCGGTCGGTCTTCTCGACAATTTGTGCGTGCACATTATTTTTTATTAGAAGCTAGGATGCTCTACGCTCTGAAGATGGTGAGGTGTTGCAGATTACTTAACACTAAACACAATATCGCGACTCGGTACGCGCGCGGATTGCAGTCGAATAGTTCGCAGAGGAAGAAACTCGAAGGATTGCTTCCGCAAACGGAAGAATTCCAGGTTAGGCATATCGGGCCTAGAGAACACGAGCAAATCAAAATGTTGCAGACTATTGGATACCGGGTAATTCACTCAATATTGATATCGTATAATGAACAAAAAAATCTTGCTTGTCGCGGTTAGATTAATTTCATCTACGATTCGATATTTCAGAGTCTTGATGAATTAACGGAAGCGGCGGTGCCGGCTAAGATTCTTCACAAGAAAGATTTGAATATTAACGAGCCTCTTAGTAAGTAATGAATTCTCCTGATCACACAGTACGCGTGTAGCACTCAAATTTTAATAAAATTAGACGGTTTCGCGCGCGAAATTTCGATACTAAATCATCCGGTCTTTGTTTCATTGCCCGTAGAATCAGGCAGAGGGCCTCTTGAAACGCACACATACATGTAAATATGTAATCTTTATTGTGAAAGGGGAAAAAACCAATATGTATTTTTCCATTTTTGAAGATACAGAAATAGTAACTATTTTTTTTTTATGAGATACGATAATCATGGGTCTTGGGCAGAAACGTGACGAGTCACGCGACTTTTCGTTTTGAACTGCTTGAAAGTGATAACCCCTCGGTTATCGTAACGCATTTCATCCTCCCTTGCACATTAATAATGTGTAAATATATCGATTGCATAATTGTAATGTGTGAGAGATGCCAATAATTAATATAATTCTCTATCACGCACTAATATTAACTAGACAAATTTTACAACGTAATCAACTCCGTTGCGATATGTCGTGTAGTAACTGCGATAGTCGGAGAAATTCTGATGCTCTCGATTGGGGTCACATAGTTCAATCTCGTGCGCTCCGCACGATTTTTTCGATTGTCGTCAGAGATTCGTTAATTTCTTATCTTATCGCGACATTACATACGTATACATAGTACGTTATAACATTACGCTTCACTGATCGTATGTTCGATGTTTACTTAAAGGATATAATTTTCATGGATATCGATTGAACGCGAAGTGAATTTTACATTATTACGAAGTAACAACGCAGACTTGCCCTTTTATAGCCGAGTACGAGCTAATGAAACGAGTCACGAAGATTTCAGAAGAAAATGATGTATGGCGCTCTTACATAGGCATGGGTTACAACAACTGCTGCGTGCCGCACACGATTATGCGTAACATTTTTGAAAATCCGGGGTGGTACGCTAAAAACTAAAGTGAAGTAGCGAATAAACGCAAAACTCTTGTTTTGTATGAAACAAAAATCTTGTTGCCACAGGACGACACAGTACACTCCTTATCAGCCCGAGATCTCGCAGGGCAGGCTGGAAGGTTTGCTGAACTACCAAACTATGATATGTGATTTAACCGGCATGGAAGTGGCGAACGCCTCTCTCTTGGACGAAGGGACGGCAGCGGCGGAGGCTCTGACTCTCGCATGCAGGTATAACAGACGGAAGAAGCTGTTCGTCTCCGACAAGGCGCATCCGCAGACCATCAGCGTGATCGCGACGCGCGCCACTTCCTTGGGCTTCACTCTGGAAATCGGAGATGTCTTTAGGGTGGACACGAGTGCGAGGGACATCGCCGGTATCCTTATACAATATCCCGACACAAACGGCTGCATACACGATTTCACGGACATTGTCCAGAAAGCGCATGCCAACGGAGTATGTGTATTATTAAACATTTCAACATACAGGAAACAGAAATCTTTGTTAAATAGGATAGGTGGTAGATAGCAAATGTGAGAGTCTGGTGATTTTGGTGCGCAAAGAGAAACTAATGCTCTTATAATGTCTGATTAACAGAACAAAATTAACCAATATATATTTAAACCAAACATACGTTTCAGTTTTGTAATTGAACTTTTTTTAATCGTTAAAATATTTACAATATTGTCAAAGTAAGCGCTAGGTCAACCGACATAAAAGGAAAAAGAAAGTTTAAATGTCAAAATATGTAAAAGTTAAAGTAAACAGAATTAGAAGTTCTGTTCTGTAACTTCGGAATATTTATCAGAGAAACAGTTCTGTAGCTTCGGAATATTTATTACAAATTTGTTTGTAATATCAGTCAGAGATAGCTTTCTAAAAACAAACGTTACTCACTACAGTGTGTGAGACCATTTATCTTATTTATTTGATTGAATGTCAAGGAACTCCACCATTATTTCGTAGAAATTCTTGCATAAGACACAAAAAAATGCAATTTATTACACTTTATCAATTTCAATACGTTTTTTCTTCAAATATATTAGATTAATAACATCATTTATGTAGCTAGAATGCTGAAATGGCTAATGATTTGTACCCATAAACTTTTTCATTTTCTGGTAGTTACATGTAACATAGTTTAACGATACCTTATACTCTTATCAGACACTCGTGTGCTCTGCCACTGATTTGCTGGCGATGGCCGTGCTCCAACCGCCGAGTGAGTTCGGAGTCGACATATGCGTAGGCACCAGTCAACGTTTCGGGGTCCCTCTTGGATACGGCGGGCCTCACGCTGGATTCTTTGCGTGCCGGCAGAAGCTGGTACGGCTGATGCCCGGTAGAATGATAGGCGTGACGAGAGACTCCAGCGGGCGAGAAGCTTACCGGTTGGCCCTTCAGACGCGCGAGCAGCATATCAGAAGAGACAAGGCCACCAGTAATATCTGTACCGCACAAGCTCTGTTAGCTAACATGTCCGCGATGTATGCGGTGTATCACGGACCTCAAGGTATACGAAATATCGCGAGCAGAGTTCACAATTTAACGTTGGCTCTTGTGGACGGCTTGGAAGCAGCGGGGAACTCGATCAAGAATATATACTTCTTCGATACCATCAGAGTGTCACCGAAGATCCCTGTGCAAACTGTGAAGGAGAATGCGAGGGAAGCTAAGATAAACTTAAGGTTTGTACCTCCTCCGTTGTACGGTTTGAGACGTGACGATGATATGTTAGACAGTTAGGCACTGAAAACAGTCTATTGCGATTTTATGAGTAAAACTGCAACGTGGAAACTTATAGATACCACAACGATGGTACAGTTGGGATATCTCTCGACGAGACAACGACGATAGAGGACGTGAACGATCTCTTCAAGATATTCTCGGCGAACACTACAGTGAATAACGTCGTCAGGAAAGAGAATTACCTCACGAGAAGTTTGGATAAAACGGAGGATTTTCATCGTACCATTCCGTACTTGCAACATCCCGTCTTCAACAGTTATCATTCCGAGTCGAGGATAGTCAGATATATGAAATCTCTGGAAAACAAGGATGTATCTCTTGTACACAGTATGATTCCATTGGTAAGTGATCGTTGTCTCACAGACGAGCAGATCTGAGCGTTTGGATCCCTTTTGTATCTCTATCGTTCACCAGGGTTCTTGCACGATGAAACTCAACTCGACGACGGAAATGATGCCCTGCAGCTTGAAGGGCTTCACAGACATACATCCTTTCGCCCCGGTTGAGCAGGCCAAGGGTTACCAGCGACTATTCGCCGAACTGGAGCGAGATCTGTGCGCGATCACCGGCTATGATGCCGTCAGTTTACAGCCGAACAGCGGGGCGCAGGGCGAATACGCGGGCTTGAGGGCGATTCAGTGTTATCACGAGTCTAGAGGCGACAAATGCAGGCAGGTGTGCTTGATCCCGACGTCGGCGCATGGCACGAATCCCGCGTCTGCTCAAATGGCGGGTATGCAGGTGGAACCGATATCAGTACGCAAGGATGGTTCTGTAGACATGACGCACTTGACGGAGATGGTCGATAAGTACCAGCAGACGTTGTCGTGCCTGATGATAACGTATCCGTCAACGAACGGCGTGTTCGAGGAGACGATTGGCGATGTATGCGACATAGTTCATGCCGCTGGCGGGCAAGTGTACTTGGACGGCGCTAACATGAACGCTCAGGTGGGGCTGTGTCGGCCTGGCGATTACGGCAGCGATGTGTCGCATCTCAACTTGCATAAAACCTTCTGCATTCCTCACGGAGGTGGCGGACCCGGCATGGGTCCTATTGGAGTGTAAGTGAATGCTTCTTCCAATCCTTGCGTTTACATTCGTTGAAGATTATGCGACTTTAAAACTTAAACTCTCAAATTTAACTTGCAGAAAGAAACATCTTATACCTTTTCTGCCGAGTCATCCTGTAATAAATTGCTCGGGTAACGGCAACGGTAACAACGACATCAGGAATTTAGGTGCTGTGTCGGCCGCGCCTTTCGGATCATCCGCTATTTTACCGATCTCATGGGCTTACATCAAGATGATGGGGCCGAAAGGCTTACGCAAAGCTACGCAGATAGCCATTCTCAATGCCAATTACATGAGCAAGAGACTAGAAGGATATTATAAAACACTGTACAAAGGCGAGACCGGACTAGTCGCGCACGAGTTTATTTTGGACGTGAGAGACCTGAAGAAGACTGCCAATATCGAGGCAGTTGATATTGCGAAGAGACTGATGGACTATGGTTTCCACGCGCCGACCATGAGCTGGCCCGTAGCCGGGACTTTAATGGTCGAACCGACTGAATCCGAGGACAAGACTGAACTGGATAGATTTTGCGATTCTTTAATCTGTAAGTTTTAGAGACGATTAGATACCACTACAGATATCTCATTATTAAATATAAAAATGTAAGTATAAAAAATGCTAGTATACTCTCGTCGCTTGCTCACGTTTACATTTATTGGCAGCCATAAGAAAGGAGATTGCCGATATCGAAGGAGGAAAATTAGATATAGTACAGAATCCTCTGAAAATGGCACCTCATACACAGGAACAAGTGATCACGAGCGAGTGGAATCGTCTGTATTCGCGAGAGTTGGGGGCTTTCCCTGCTGTGAGTATTTTATCGGACGCTTTCTTTGGTTGAACGTACCTTAATCTGAATTTTAATCGTCATTTTAGCCGTTTGTGCGAAAAAACAAGATTTGGCCTAGCGTCGGCAGGATAGACGACATATATGGCGACAAGAATCTATTCTGTACATGCCCGCCTATCTTGCCGGAGCAGTAGATGCTACATCACTGCATGCTACACATGTACAGTTAGCTTTGTATAATAGGACTAATTAAATATTTATTATCACTTTCATACACAAATATATTATTTATATAAAACATTATAATCTGAGAAGAGTAGTTAAAATATAACGAAAATATTTTTTTTAATGATTTGAACTCGCGTCTCAAATAAATGATTTAAGTCTCCAATTTTATTTACTATTTCTTATGTATATGTGAGTTCTTAAATATCTCTACTATAATCTTTCTGTATTTTCTAACTATTTGCCATGTAACTCTATTTACATTGTTCTAGACAATTTTATGTATTTTAGTTAACCTGTATCGTATACTTAATATATTTTGTACATATATTATAGACCGGGCATTAAGTAAGCAATATTATCAAGCATCTCGGACAGCGTTTCAGATTTAGCTCCGTTAGTTTCCGGCACTTGTTGCGTTAAACAAACTAACGGACCTAAGGCACAGAGCAACGAGTCCAATAATACCGAGAGGCTGCCCGAAACCGCAATCTGACCGTCGTGTTCCTTCAAGCGTTCCCCGATAATCGTCAGGCTCTCACCCAGCAATTTTAGATGAGCTGCGACGTCAATGGGCTGTGTCCCGGTAACTTTGTACATTCCAGTGCCGATCAATGTCTCATTCGCCATATCTCTGTTGACACGATTCGCTGGTGGTGACACAGGAACGTTGCCCACGACGGACGGCACGCCGAGCTGAATGGTCTTTTTCGTAGAAGCAGGCTTCGTTTCTTTGCCATTACCTGAAATGCAATGCAATACAAGAATATGACTCGTTAATGGCATACTGAATATTTGTCTTAAACGAGACACATGCACGCATAAGACAAACAAAAATGTAACTACGAGGGAAGATCAGAGATAGAAAGATGGATATATTTCCGATCCGATAAATATTCTTCGCTGATGCACGCATGCACAAGAGGGAAAGATATGTGTAAATATATATATATATATATATATATATATATATATATATTATATATATATATATAAATCTGTACTACCACATGACAATATATATACAACATACAAATCGTAAACTGCCTGTGTTACAAGAATCAGCAAACCCACCAATTTTATTAATGAATTTTTTTCGCGAGGCGGGTGGTGGCATTTTCCAGATAGGTTCATCTTTACTGGTCGGTAAAATGTGAGGTTTTGCTGCTAAGCGTTTCGCACGCCTGCGCCAATTATACTTTTCCAGATGTGGTACTGTAGCCCATAGCTCTCCTAATCGCTTAGAAATTGCCGCGAAATCTACAAAAAGCAACGATCATATAAAACAAACATCGAAGTGGCATGCGCTTTTACTAACACAAAAAAAAAAAAATATATATATAAATACAGCTTAAATACCCATGGAAGGAGATTGCTCTACCAATTCTTGCCTAATTTTCTTTGACCATAGCATGTAAGCAGTAAATCTCGTCTTCTAAAAATATTAAAAAATTAAGGCCACCTCTTCGGCATCGCTCATCACTCAGTACATACCCCTTTATCCTTGCGTTGAGCCTTTGTCTTGCCTATAATTTTCCCATCTTTAATAATTAACTTTTTTTTACATTTTTCAAGCATATATAAACTATTTGCTTGCGATGGTGTTTCCTGACCTGCAGGCGGTTCTAGCTTCCTGAACCCCATTTCTCTATCATCTATCATAAGAGGATCAACCTCATTGTCACTCCCAGAATCCATGCTATATCTGTCATCCTCATTTATCCCAGAGGGATCGTCGGAATCTGATGCCGATGATTGCCCCTCATTGTCAGATATGGGTGGTTCTATCTTGATTTTCTGCTGCAACTGATTGGAACCAGAAATTTTCCTCTGTCGCCCACTCTGCTGGGTGGGCGATATCTGTTGGTGTTGTTGATGATGATGCTGTGATATTTCATATTGATCCAACAGCTGCTGATGTGCCTGTTGCTGAGCCTTTATCTGTCGTTTATGCTTATTTTCTGCAAGATCGTCGGGTGACTCAAAGTCGACTAGCTTGGAGGATTTCTTCCTTACCCGGCCACTGCGCGAGATACCCGTGACCTCTAGATCTGAAAGATAAAGCAGACTGCACCTTGCCAAAAAAAGAAGGAAAGAGTTTAATGTGCTTTTGCAATAACTAACTACCAAGCTGAGACATCTATAGATTCAGGATAGACACAATATAGAGAGAGGCAAGGTCTACTTCTACACGCAGGCTACTAGATATCAGCCATCAAAGATGTTGGCAGCCAGTCGCAGTACAACTCTCAGTTTCTCTCTTTGCTTCTACATTCTTTTCTACAAAAATTATGTAGCATATTCTGTGCATGTAACAGTCAATTGTTTAATCGATTAGATATTTCATGGATCGTGGAACAAGTAAATATACGATATAAAAAAACTTTGCTTCCCAACAACAAGTTTTTGACTTCGACGCAATTGTTTGACAGGATTACATTTGTACACGTGACAGATAGCAAAACAGGTGAAGCAGGGAATCTTTACCATCATTACGTTCGCAATGACAAATATAGAAACATGACGTGACGCAACATCAGTCTTTGCTATATTTCCCACAATAATTCTAACCACAATAGAGAGCCCGTGTATACGTCAGTTAGTACGGCGATTACCCGCCGTGTGTCAAGGCGCTAGCACGCCTTGTAAACGCCAGAGATCACAACCGAAGAATATCGCACAAAGAGAACTCCGGGATTTCCTACGAGAATGCGCGCAAATCATGCGATTTCACCGCAAGCAATTCCAGCCAGAACAAGCAAACGACCTAGCTAACCAGGATGGTTGCAAACGGCGCGACGAAAACCGATCTCACCGTCGTTCTTCTGCCGTTTTGGCGAGCCGAACATATCCATAGCGTCCTTCCCCTGGTCTGCGTGTCGTCCGCGCCGCGGCGTCTTGTCAGATCTCGCGGGTTTACAAATGTACCTACGCATGACGACGCGTTGAACGGCCGCGTGGGCGCGATGCACTTAACAATGTTTTCGCTCAATGTGCGCACTTGTTCGTGATCTCTTCTGACTAATGGAACAGGACTCGGTTTATTCGCACGACTTTTCTAAAAACAATTGATGTTTGTCTTATGTGTACGAAAGTCGTGCGGCCGCGGGGCGCATGCGCAAGCGCGGCGCGATATTTCGAACTTCGAGTTGCGAGCTCACTTCAAGCGATACGACATTTTTACGAGTCTTTCGTAACGGTTGCGTCGTCAGTTTCCGATTGCGTCGTGGATCGCGTAAAATAACGATAATCGGAGGAAGGGCCAAGAGATCTTCGAAAACGAAGTAGACTCGGGCCGGAGGCTTCGTTTGGAATATCGATATACGACAGCTATTGAGAGGTACGCGGTATATTTGTTCATTTCGTAGCCGGCTCTCGTTACAGCATTCATCAATTTGCGACACTTATTCAGGTTTTATTAAATATCCAGATGTATGAGGACTTGTTAACTATTTATCAATCATGATCTATTATCTATTTATTTATTTATCTATCTATTTATCTATTTATTCGTTTTCATTTAAATCCTCATATATCTTAATACTTCATATTTATATCTGCGCAAGAATTTCGACTACTGGACTGTTTTCTACTGTTTTTCACATATGAATTGTTAGTCACAAAAGGATATCGAAATAATTTGAAAGAGAAACGACAAAATGGCCGGCGAAATCAAAGTGAAATATTTAGTCGAATTAAATGTTCAAGCCAGCGGCACACGGTGCTTGTTTTCATGCTGGATTGCTTGCTGGATGGAAATATTCCATTTTGATTAGTGCATTTCCATCCATCTTCAGAAATGCACCAATCAGAACAGAATATTTCCATCCAGCAAGTAAACCAGCATGAAAACAAGCATCGTATGCCATTGGTTTAAGATATAACACTAATTGCACAAGTAAATATAAAATGCAAATTCAATTATTGTAAATTAACATTATTGCTTATACAAATTCTACAATTGCTTCTACTGGTAATCTAGAAGCAGTGGTCATAATTTATACCATTAACATATGCCTTCTTTTTCATACCGCATCTTTTAAGTATATAATAATATAGATTATAGATTATTAATAATAGATTTCTCGAAATAGAAATACCAATTACATTCATGAATATTTCACATATTGCATGTTATCCCTTTTGAATTTTTTTTATTAATAAAAGAGTGTCTTTCTAAATGTATCTAGAAACTAATCAGGACATTTGGCCTCATATTTAAAGACACTTTTACTAATAAAAGAGAGTGCAGAATAAGGACTGTAATAAACACCTGTATCATGTATTTAATACATATAATACTTATAATAATATATAGAAATACTTATATGTTAAGCTAGAACAATACAATGTACGATATTCATGTTTTCTTACATGTATGCTGACATGCTTTAAGTTCAGTTCGTTGCATAAATCGCTACTGTGCACTGAAAGATCCATCTAGTGAACACAAAGTATTATCCATATTGCAATGTCAGTTCAATCATATGGTATATTATGTAACTGTCTACTATTAAACTACTATGTACTTTGTTATGTAACAAAGTAACAGTTATATAATATAACTGAGCTGACATTGTAACATTGATGAAACTTTGTATTTACTGGGCATGTAGTAAGAGCAACTTGCCAGTTAGCTTACATGTCAGAAAGCATGAAATCGTGCATTGTGTGATTCTAGTTTTATACAATGGGATATATCTATCTCATGTAAAAGTATTTTTACACGTTATTCAGATTATAAAAATTTATTTGAAGACTTAAATTGATTAAAGACTTAATCAGCTAACATAATAGAATTAAATGTTATCTTCTTGCTGCCAACCATCATCATTAGATAGAAATCTTCGTTTGTGGCTAGTGTTCATGTACGGTCTCAAAGCCCATTGTGTGTCGGCTGTTGCAGCAATGTCCAGAGTACCAAGTTTGATTTCATACAGTTTTAATTGGAAACGTGGTCCTACTTCTGTCATTTCTATCTCTTTGCCTTTTGATTTCTTATATATATGATGTCTGAAACATATACAATCATCGTGGTTAGCGAAACTAATCACTCTCTTACTGTCCTCTTTTGGTACAGGAAACAGGTATTTCAGAATGCTCATCACTCGCTGTCCCAGTGTAGTTTTGAAATTATGGAAAATCAGATGTGGATATTGCTCCGACATCGTGCCAATGTCGGGTATATCGTGCCTCATTATGACATTGGACATTGTGAAGTAAGCAGTGGGCCCGTATGGTAAATGGCATATCACCAAGCTGTCGGGCATACCGCGGTGTTCGTGCACGATGATGAAGTCCGTAACATCGTTTGTCTGACAGGCTTCAATCAGCTGCTTCATATCGTAGTTACCACGGTTCATCCGTTGTGAATTGGGAAAGATCAAACGCAGCTCTTTGGCAAACATCTTCAGCCGGGAGCTAGGGTCGCGCGATGTCGTGATGATGATCTTGGGATCCTCCACGCCGGCCCAGCGATACTCGTCGTCCTCGTGGTTGGCTACGGTGCCTCCCATCTCTCTTCCCATAGCCACTGCCATTTCTGGTCCCGCATCTTCCCACTCTATCTTCCTCTGAATGTGTAGGGCGTCCTTACGTAAGTCTGGATGAATAGGTGTATTTTCCTCCAAGCTGCGTTTCAGCTTATCCTTCTTCTCCTGTATTCCCTTTAGCTTGTCCTGCACGGACTTTCTGTAGAGGTATTCTCTACGCATTCGCGCTTGCCGTCGCAACATCCTCGTTGTTCACGGTCACGTTCTGGCTAATTTATTTCGCTTGGTAGGTGTTAATCGTTGCACGTGGGAGAAGAATATTCTTGTTAAAATTATTATATATAATATTCAAAACTCTTAACACCGTACTCGACAACACATTCGTTTATAGGTTATGTTCTGCACATGTGCCTTTGCACTTTGCGCGCCATCGTCCGTTGGCGACATGCAACACCTCGTAGTTTAAGGTCCAGCGAGCGCTGCAAATGCTTTGTAGCGTTTATACTTCTTTCTCTTTCTTCATTCGAATTCGAGGAATAGAATAAGAGGGAGAAACGCTGCGCAGCATTTGTAGCGGTTGTTGGACCGCACCTTATAAGTGCGATCGAGGAGCTTGCTATTAGTGCTATTCAGCGCTACCGTATCATTCTATCTTTGTTGTTTATCTAAGGAGCGATAAAGATAGAAGAACGCGGTAGCGTTGGTAGCGTGCTCCCCGAACGCACCTTATGAGTCGGTTATAGCGGAGAGAAGCATAAGAGCGGTCACCAGCTTGATTTCAATGGCCAGAGCTAGGCGCATTTTGGAGACATTATCTAACAAAGTGCGCCTTTACTATGTTCATTAGGCGCATTTTCGCAGTGGTAACGATAAAATACGCGTGGGCCCCTATTCTTGAAATTTTTGCGTATACGTAATTTTTATTGCGCAGCTATTTTACGGTATGATTAAACTTGCGCAGTAAAACTTACGTATACGCAACTATTTCAAGAATAAGGGTTCTGGTTCGTGCTCGTACTTGGGTGTATATCAGTTGGACACGGGGCAATTGGACACAGTCCAATCACAAGTCGCTGTTTCAAGGGACCCTACAAATGTCTCTAATCACACGGTGCTGTGATTGGCTGTGTCCAAATGCACCGTGTCCAAGTGCACCGTTCCCCTCGTACTTCCGTACAATGGATGCGTTCAGTGAACTCAACAGTTGCACAACAGTTGAGCAATTCGTCAATGTAATTGGTCTATATTTAGGGATCTAACAGTAAGGATCAATAATCGTTAATTGCTCACTGAGCGTTTTTTCCGCTGAACGCGCCCAATGATAGTAAATTAGAAAACGACAAACATTCAATCACTCTATTCTTGTCTCACCGCGCGACGTAGGCACGAAGCGAACTAGCGGCGATATTATCGCAAAATTAGATCATCGGCAGCTCCCGATATGCTCGTCTCAACGGTTGAGAGTGTATGACGTAACGCTCGAGCACGTGTTCGCGCACGCGTGTTTACATAACCCGGTCGCGCATCCCCCAAGCACCGCTCAGTCAGCAGCACGAGCGGGCCGTTACGATGGTATTTTTACCTAGCCTTTGTGGAGCCTGGAGTTTTTGTTAGCGTCTTTGCCCAGGTATTGTTATTACCGATTATTCAATCATTATTTCGTTATTATCCACTTGCGGATATTATCACATGATTGTCAAACAGATATTATCACTATCATTTAATATTCAAGTCTTATTACTTCTTTATTCGATTATTATTTAATTTATTCAGTTATTATTTAATTATTGCTATTACGCAGGAATACAACTCGGGCGTGCCGTTACAACAATTTCTTCACCTCGTCTTTAATCAGTTATTATTGCCGTTGGCCAGTTATTGTTATTCATTGTTATTATCGATTATTCGATCATCGTTGTTCAGTTATCCGTTCGCGGCTATTATTACACGATTGTCGATCAGGTATTATTATCACTACCATTTGTTATTTGAATATTATTACTTTTTTATAATAATTATAATAATATCTGCTCGACAATCGTGTAATAATAGTCGCGAGCGCATTATAACTGAATAACGATGATCGAATAATCGGTAATAACAACGAATAACAATAACTGGCCAACGGCAATAATAACTGATTAAAGACGAGGTGAAGAAATTGTTGTAACGGCACGCTCGAGTTGT